GTACATTCAGTTAATGTGTTGTTTTAGAATATTGGTACCTCTTAGCGGTGAAAAATTTTAAGCCACACCTACAATGCAGAGCCATCTCCAGGGTTCTTTACAAAATTGCTGTTCTTTTTAATATGGGAGTTCCCCCTAGGATTAATTCCTTCTTCTACTATATAACAACAAATTATAAATAAAATTATATAGCTGGATTTTTCCCTCATCATTGCACGCTCTCATTGACTACTGTATGGTCACATGACATCTAAAAGAAACTGTTTTTGTTGATTGTAATATTTCCCACTTCCATACCTTTGATGTCATTATTTTTATTTTATTTTATTCGGAGAAAATGAATAAGTTCTCTGGAACTTGACAAACTTTTTCGAGCAAATGTGACTCGACAAGTGCAAGTTGCGTCGAATAATATTGGAACACTGAGCGTAACATTGTTGCAGAGTTCCCGTTTCAAGAACACATCCGGTTGAATGCAAACCCGGCTAGTTCAGATTTGAGCAGTTCCATATAATGTCAATAGTAAGTATTGTATTCTCTTGCAGTTATCTTAACAGTAGGTTACCTGGTTCCTGTGAGTTTGACGGGGATCGGTTAAGTCTTCCGATGTTATTTCCCCGTCTAAAATCTTGGCCAATATGGAGGCCATGTTGTCTCCTCCATTTCAAATCAACCGCGCATAGTTGTCGTGCGCAAGATCCGGGAATGGTCAGCGTGAAGTTTGGCGCGAAAATTTAACCAATCAGATGGCTGAATCTCTGTCTTCAGAGTATAAATTCGTTTTCACTGTGAATTCCTTCGAGTTCTTAGGCTTAAATCACGGTCAAAGATGCCTAAAAGACAGTTTCCTTTCGATCGATCCTCCCCACTACAGCTTAAGACCTACGTGAATGCTTTTCACTTCGAAAAGGCGAACAATATGGACAGTATTTATGGTAGGTACTGGCGTTGTCGTGTTTTGAATAAGGATGTCAGCTGCGCTATATTCGACTGAAAGTGATTCCTTTCCTTGCAGCAAGAACACGAGAATTGATGAACGAAGGCTCGCTTCGACTCAAGAAAACCCAGGCGGTCCAGAAAAGTCCCTTGCAAGTGGAAGAAACGTTTAAATGTCAAAGCTGTCTTCACTCCAAGTGTGGGTTGCGCGTAATTTGTGCCTTCTGTGAACGAAGCACGTGTGAGGATTGCGGTCGACAGTGTTTGCATTGTGCAGGGATATTTTGTAGTTTGTGCTCCATTGTCAAGTAAGTAGTGGTCGG